GTAGATCATCCAGTCCTCGTTTGCTTGCTCGTCGATAGGAAGTCGCAGATAGCAGAGCGTCGTTTAATCTTGCGTGGTGTTCAGACTCCTTGTCCACCCCGTTGGTGCATGTGTTCAGACTTCTATATGCGCAACTTTTGGCTAGCTTGCTTGCGTAGTCTTCATGTGCTATGGACAAGCCCACGACTGGTCAGAGCCTTCGGCTTCATGACGGACGGATTTGTTTATTGAGCTAGAGACATGACCATGCATATGCACGTCCATAATGAACTGCATGGTCTCATGAATTGGATCGTCTACGGCCTTGGCTTGATTGGATCTTCGTGTTATCTTGTTGGTCAGCCTGACGTCACCAGGCTTCAGTCCCAATTGATTTGGCTGATCCGTCGAGACTTGTCGCCGAAAGAGACACCGAGTAGCCGATGCACAGAACCAAAAGCTTTGAGTAGTAGATTGATCCGTAGGGACACGGCATTGATCGAGTCTCATCAGGTTGTGGGACACCGCTGTAGCAGATCGAGTTGCTGCGAACGACGTTGATGAAGAAAATCGCCATCTGATTTGCCGGAAGATCAGCACGCACAACCCCTAAAAGGGGCCCCCTACTTGGCGCGCCACTGTTGACGAAATATGGTCGGCAGTCCACCGAGGGGGGTGCCCGTGGTGGTAGATTATCGGTAGGATGCGCGTAATCAGGAACCAGATGGTGACACAAGGCGTAGAGACAACGATTTAGACAGGTTCGAGCCGTCTGATCGACGTAATACCATAAGCCCTGTGTCTTTGGTGTATTGTATTGATGATGTATACAGATTAACCCGTCCTCTGGGGGACCCTTGTCTCTCCTTATATACTCCGAAGAGACAAGGTTACAAGTAAAGTATCCAATTTGGTACTATCACAATATCTAGTACAACTTGTAATCTTGATGTGCACGCATTGATCTTACGGGTTGGGCCACCTCGGATGGTGCGGCCCATGTACCATCTTGTGGTACCCGGGGGTATATCCCCCACAACCACCTGAGTCGCCCCTTCAGGAACTGACTTGCCGAGGCCCATGAAACTTTTGTGTAATTGAATTGCTCCTCCACTGTAAGCAACTAAGCACACTCTAGCACATACTCGGTACAGGGATGGATATATCATTCACGATGTCTGTAATTGGCTTACGAAGAGGAAGAGTTTAAACACGTATAAGGGTAGGTTACAAGGCCAGGCGAGCGTCTGCTCCCTGACGCCGCCGTCCGGACGCAGCCGGCCACTTCTCTCTTTTTCTTCCTCGTGTTCTCTCCTCTCCTCTGCTCTCTCTCTCTCTCTCTCTCTCTCTCTCTCTCTCTCTCTCTCTCTCTACTCTGCTCTTAACTCTCCTACAAGCAAAGTTGATCACGCCACCCCGAAGCATTTGGAGTTGGGCTTCTTAGCTCACACGGGCCTCGCTTCCTTCACTGGCCCGTGATAGGAACTGGCCTATTCTCCTGGCGTTTTCTCCTTCTGATTTCCCGCCATCACGCTCACGCCTCCACCTTCCGACAGGGCTCCTGACATCCACTCTGTTATGTTCATCACCAGGGAAACATTCAGAATTGAAACCACTGAGCACCGACAGAAAAAATGCCATGAACAACATTCTGATATGCCAAGGTTAGGAGAGGTAAACAAATCCATCACTATGTCAAAAAAGCAGACATGTGATGCGTCTAGACGAGGGACGTGGAAAAAACACCACGATGGTAGGATTCAAGATAATTGAGTTTCCAGGAAATTAAGAGAAGTTTCTTGGCATTTTGTTTCTATAATCACTTTTGCAAGCCTGCCTAGGAAACATGAGAGACCGGAGCTCTTACTTGAGGATTAAAATTAGAAACAAAACGAACAAGAGTACATACAGGGAGTTTAGGAAACAAAAAAAAAATACTTTCTCAGTTGTTGCACCAAAAGCTCGCCTGAGGACAGCAGTCTGGATTTGATTCTTGTCCATGGAAGTGGCAGATTCAGACTATTCTGTTTCTTTGTCGCCTGTCAGCTATGCGGGCATCTTTTACTCCCTTACTTGGAAAAGGAATATGTCAAGGTATTGTGACTTTCATGTATTTGTTGACATCACTTCTTGCGGCAGTTCATGTACCTAGGCTTACGATCCCAATTCAAGACATCATTGAACTTAATAGCATGTCCTTTCCTAGAATACAGGATGCCTGATAGATTCAGTCAGATAGCTTCCACTGACGTGGCATTTCGTTTTGCAACAATAATTGGTCGCAGATGAAAGAAGTAAAGATTAGGCCGGTTGGCAATACTCACAATGGTGGTGGTGTCGACAGGGAGCTTCTTCATGGAGAGGGCAAAGCTGAATGGCAGTGCTCGCTCCTTCCAGTACAAGGCCGGTTGCTTGGCCAGGATCCCGGTGCTTTGAATTAGCTGGCAGTCCTATTTTGTTGAGCAGTAGTACCGAGATTGTTGGTTAATGGAAGCGGGCGAATTTATCTTTGGCCAGTGTTTTCATATATTTATTGTGAGTTTGTAAATAAGGGTCAAAGCCCAGTGCACAAAAGGGGAAGCTTCAGCTGGATGCTATGCTCTACTTTGTTGTGAAATCTAGCAGGTGCAGAGTTGGGACTGCAATAGCACATTGTAAAGGCCTTGTCATGGTTGCTTTGGTACCCACTTTATTTATGTAGAATGCACCAGCAAAAATCTAGCACGGTACCCTCTTTATCAAGCCAACTGATGGTCAAGCTTGGTAAAGCAAGATTAAGGCAATGGAACGTGACATACCATTATGTGCATCTCTGCCATGCTGATTTGCTGAGCATAGTGAGTGGTACTTGTTACTTTATTAGTCTTGCACGGTACCCTCTCACGTTCTAAATTATTGGTTATTTTTGCTTTATCTTCGGTGAAACTTTCAATTTGACTAAATTTATAAAAAAAAATGTACCAATATCATCTATAATAACAAATTAGTTTTTCCTAAAATTCTCCATGAGTATGTTTATATTGTGCATTTTTTTGAGTTTGTAGATCTAATATATATTTTCCCTAAAATAAAAATATGGTCAATGTTAGAAAACTTTGACTCTGAGACAAAGGTGAAGTGAACTGTATAATAGGATTTAAAAAGTACAGACATGAATGAGCCGGTAACTCGGGCAAACCAATTGTACTGTGATGAAGCCGCGTTTGAGCTATGGCACAAATTAAAGGGGTCATCTGTGCAAGCTATTTGAGTTTGCTCTTTGCAGGACGACAGTCGGTTCCATCTTTATTCTTTGGCTCCAGCCCCAAGCAAAGAGCACCCGGCCGCATGTATCTTTTTTCTTGATGCCAATGCCAAAAGTTACAGGCTTATCTGGAGAAGCAACGGAACGGGGAGCTAATCGCAGGCAGCTCGATCCCCCCTCGCATAGTACTACCTCTCATCTGTCCGCTACCTCTTGCTGATCAGCACACACCTAAGACTCAGGCAGCACCACCGTTTCTTGCGTTGTGTTCTCCGATCGCAGCTCAGGATATTTTTATATACATACAGTGTAGCTAGTTGCCAAGGTACTAACAACTTCTATGCTTCTTGATTCCATATGGTTGTTACTACTCGGCACATGTTTTTTTCCTCTTTGTCTCATTCTATATATATGCAGCTAGGTGCTGCATGCATGTGTTCACACCGGACGCATGTATAATTAGCTTTATTTTGTTCTTGTGGATTAGGGATTGGAGATCCATCTGGAAGCGATGGAGTAGATATGGGCTACAAAAATACCTCTGGAGCTTCTTCAGTTTGCTAATCTTTTCTATATATACAGACTCGTCATGCCGCCGAAAAAATGGGAGGTATGCCCCCCTCCCCCATTGAAGATATAGATCGTGTACTTTTGGGAACATACACCAGTATAATGACTAATTTTGTTATCAGTGGCTTTTGCAATTACTCTCAAAATAGGAGTACGTGGACAAATGAGAGACGTACCTCTTTGGATCACAAGGCTAAAAATTAGCCTATGTTGTGATAATAATAAGTTAAATATTGGCTAACTATAGGCTAATAAGGAGTGATAAGTTCCAACCATCAATTAGTCCTCATGAGCTCTTATTAGCCTAAAGTTAGCCCATATTTAGTCCTTCTATTTCCTTCTAACTGTTAGTCCCTAGATCAAACAGACCTATTCATAATTTTGTATTCTACGTACTACAACATTTATTTCTGTTGTACTATATAATAGCCCTTCAGTTGTGGTTCAAATTCAGTCGGGCTGGCGGTCCTCAACTCCCCACGCCCTCTCTCTCTCTCTCTCTCTCTCTCTCTCTCTCTCTCTCTCTCTCTCTTTCTCTCTCTCTCGATCTCGTCTCACTCCAAACTCTAGATCAAGTACGACAGCTAGCAGCCACGACCTGGGCAGCTCTAGATCAGTATATCAATGGTATATCACCCACCCCCAACACCACAAACACCCACCCACTCCATTGGAAATATAGAGTGTGTACTTTGGGAACATAAACCAGTATAATCACAACTAGTTATATTATTAATGATTTTGTTTTTGCAATAATCACTGTCAAAAAATGAGTGGAGAGATGAGAAACATACCTAGTATATATCTATAATTTTGTATTCTACTCTAAGTACTGTAGCATTTATTTTTGCTATATGTAATAATGTAAATAAATAACCCCTCACGTGGCATCTCTCGTCCAAATTCAGTCGTGGGCTGCCTGTCCTCAACTTCCCACGCCCTTTTCCCATCCATTCTTTCCTCTCTCTCTCTCTCTCTCTCTCTCTCTCTCTCTCTCTCTCTCTCTCTCTCCTCACTCCAAGCTCTAGATAAGTACGGACAGCTTGCAGCCACGACCTAGGCAGGGCAGCAACGTGGTGGAATGCAGCTGGATCGGCACGGAGGGGGACCGGATCCCCGCCATCGTGGACCAAAGCTGCGATATGCTGCAGCCAGCCGGTTTGGCTGAGCAGATCGTGCGCTGTAGCGTCGATAGAGGACGGTGTCAATGGCAGCGCTCAGGGCTGTGATGGTGGTCACTGTCGCCCTACGTGACAGTACAACATTGGATGCCCCATGCGGCGAGCAGGAGCTCGGCGAGTGGTGGCGGCACCATGTGAGACAAGGGTGGCGAGCAGTACCCGTATTCTAAGTAACGTACCTGAATTCTATTTGATTTGGAGTCGGAACTGATAAGATTAGCCGTCCAGAAAATAAAACACCTTGATTAATTCTTAAAACCTTGTGCACAAATATTTTTCATCACCGATGCAATAATTAACTAAAGATATATTAGTTCATTTGCTTTTGAGCACATGTTAAGTTCCAACCAAAGAAAAAAGAAGAAGAAAAAGAAAGATACTCTGCTGCTCATGCTAGTCACTGTGTTTGTCGCGTGAGAGTGACGTTAACTAGTTAATTGTTGGCTTCAAACAAAAAATACAGGAAATTAGGGCGGTCGATGTCAAGACGGCAGTACAACAAATATCTCCTTACTTAGAGGACACAAGCAACGATGCACCTCAGTTCATCTACTTCGACGGATGGCTTGGACTGGGTGCGTCTGCGGTGCTTAGAGCTATTGCAGAGCAGCCTCCACGATCTTTACGAGAGAAATTCGACAGGATCATCCACATTGACTGTTGGATGTGGAAGAGCCGAAGAGCATTGCAAAGGGTGATCGCAGACGAGCTCAAGCTCACTCAACAGGTAGTGGCCATTGACGCGCAAGACGAGGAGGACGATTTCAGTGGGGTAGACCATGGCTCCAGAGCTGAGGTTAGAGGCGTCATGGCCGCAATAACTCGTTACCTAGTACAGTACAGATGTTTAGTTGTCTTTCACAATGGAAGTGATGGCATGGTTGACTTGACTAGCTGTGGCATTCCGCAACCTGAAATCTTCAATACTAAGGTATTGTGGACCTTCAGAGGACGGCTTCGCCTCAATGCAGGAATTCATGAAAACGTAGATGCTTCACACCTTTATCTTTTTGCATACCATGGCCGTAACAGCAATTGGAATGCACACCTTGCAAAAGAGGCTAGAGAAGTCTCTTTGTACACACATAAGCTTGGCCTTGGTGTTACACCAAAAATAGCCACAGAGTGTTGCTTGTACCTATTGTCATTGAATAACCAAGGTAACAATATGATTGACTACAACTGGGCAACCCATGCTTCCTGCTACTGGGTTTGTGATGGGATCATAGGAGGAGGACAGGACAACCAGACATGGGAGGTTGCTCATGCTCTGCAGCAGCATATAAGACTAGAAGACTACTCATCCAATGCAGAGCTTATGGGGTCTGTGGACAGATTGGATCTTTCCTCGAAACAATGGATTTCTATTACTGAATCATATTTCAAAGAGGTTCCTCCAGAGGCAACAACCCTGTTCTATGGATCCAAAAAGTCAAGTCCACAAGCAGTATCACTACCTAGTGACAAGTTCCATAAAGCAGATCAACTCCGGGTGCTGAAGTTATGTGGATGTACCTTCAGCTTTTCATCACCTCCATTCCATTGCTGCCACAACTTAAGATTCCTTGGACTGGATAGATGCATGGATGGACTACAACATGGGGAGGAGGAGGAGGAGAAAACAGGTGAACCAGCGGTGGAAATTTTTCAGCGGCTATGGGTACTAGATGTATGCCACACGGATTGACCATTGGCTTTTCCCCCAGAAACAGAAGAGCAAGTGGTGGCTACAGACATTAGAGAGGTTCATATAACCAACGGAAGGATTTGGACCAGCAACCTTGCATGGAGACGCCTACCGAACCTTCACAAGCTCCAAGTGGTTGAGCCCACAAACCCTTGGGAGACAGAAAGAAGAGATGAATTCATGGCTATGGTGAATCTGGAGCTCCTTGACCTATCTGGGAACAGCACCATACAAGTCTTGCCGAGCCTTTCGGGTGCAACAAGCCTCAAGACACTGATTCTAGATGGTTGTGTTGGGTTGGAGCATGTTGGCCCTCAACAACTCCCTCCATCACTTGAATCATTCTCATTGCATACCGCAGGAGAAGATGAGGATCTCAAGAAGAAGAATGTTGAAATATCTTACATCAGCTTGGCTGGGTGTGTAAGATTAGCAAACTTTATACTGCGTGGGTCACTGCCAAACCTTGAGGAGCTGGACCTCTCGCACACAGCAATCAAAATCCTTGACCTTGGAGCGGTCGTTGAAGTGAAAAATCTTCAGCGACTCTTCTTGATGGGATGTGGGCAGCTCCGCTCAATTTCATGGCCCAAAACCAAAATGTACAAACTAAGGCTGTTGTGCATTGACACTCGGGCAAGAGGAGGAGAGGTGGACAACAGAAAACCAACATGGTCACGTGATTGTTCTTTGATGGTCTACCAGCAGGACGAAGTAAAGGAGTATTGCCATGCATCTGTTGCCGTTGCAGACATGAGGTTCCTTCAGTCCTTGGAGTTTCTTTGGACAAGGGAAACCATTCGATGTGATAAGTGGAATCTCTGCTTGTCATCTACCAGCGATGATGATGGAAGAGGCTGCCACAAGGAAAAGATGGGCAGTCATTATAGCACTGGACAGCTAGCTGCTGCTCTGTCTCTGCCCAAGTCATTAACCTACCATGACATCAGCATTGAACAGATATCTGCAAAGATCGATATCAGCAGTAGCAGCAGCTCAGCGCAATTTCTGCCACTAGACTTGCACATGGACATTGGCGAGGGAATTAGTGACGTCACCGACAAGTCCAGAACGCGGGCAAGTTATGCAATACGTAGTGTGATGGACAGTGTGCAGTCGTTGCACGTGCACGACAGTTCCTCCATCACCACTATTGCGCCTCAACACATTTTTAGGGAATTTCGAGTAAGTCGTGGTGGCCTTGACGGCCCAATAATGAATGTGCTCAAGTGGTGCCGCGTGGAACGATGCCCAAAGTTGGATACTGTCTTCGCCACTAACTATTACTGGAGATGCTTTTCTAATTTGGAAATCTTTTGGGCGGCTCATCTCTTGATGGCCCGTTCTATTTGGAGCAGACCAAGAAATCCAAGGTTGGATGCAAATGATTTATCGTTTACACAACTGCGGGCTATTCATCTGCACTTCTGCCCGAGGCTCAGATATGTCCTCCCGATGGCTTCGAACAATACCTTATCCAAGGTGCTGGAGACTCTCCACATACACTGCTGCGGTGATCTCAAGCAGGTCTTCTTCGTGGAGCAAGAGTTCCTAGAGGAAATAGCGGCCAGACATGAAGAAGGATTGGTGGGATAAGCTGGAGTGGGATGGGATGAAGTCTGGCCACCACCCCTCCCTCTTCCAGCCGAGCCATTCCAAGTACTACAAGAGGCGTCACCTGAGGAGCACGGTTCTCCGCTGAGATAGCCGACGTGATCACCTACTTGGTGCTGGCTTCCTTCTTCTCCTGGTACGTACACACATGATCAAGCAACTTCCTCCCCTTAATTATTTGTAGTAATTTATTTCAAGTTAATTTTGTTTCATGTTCTGTGTGTGCTGATGTTGGATTGGATCACTCTCTGTAGATTCATCAGGTGTACTGATGCTGATGCTGTGGTCAACCAAGTTGCTTGCCAAGTCTTCGGTGTGTTTTCTCTCAAGACAAGAATGAAAATAATTTGGTCTCTGATGCTAGCTACCTACTTGGATTTGCATCAACCAAGTTGGTGTGTGTGTGTGCAGTGTGCAGTGTGCTTGATACCGGTATGTGTGAATTCGTGTGTATCACTCTTGAGAAAGAGGCCGACTGATGTATCCTCCTTTGCTTTGGTTTGGTTTGACTGGTTATGTGTGCGCGCGTGTGCACTCGAAAACTGAAATAAGAGGCTGGGTTTGATGCCTCCACAGAACCAAACCCCATGGTGTGCAAGTGTTGGTTTTCAGTTTCATTGACTGTATTGGACACAATGTATGCTTGTCTGTGATCCATGCAGCAGCATGCTAATGCTGCCAGCAAATTATTAAATGGCTTGGTTTGATCTACATGGAGTGTTAACTGATTATTTGTTTCCAGTATTCATGCATACTACAAGTTTCGCTAGCTATAATAGCTAGTGTACGGGTGCATTCAGGGGAGAATAAGCAATAGCACTGCCATATAACTTGTGCACAGTGTTTATCGGGCGTTGGTGTCGTGCGAATGGGGAGAGCCTAGCGAAAGGGGTTGTGCCCAGGCCCAACAGTGGTCCTCAACGTTTCCCCGTACGAGAACTTCCGCTACCTGCAAAATGAGATGCTTTGTGCACAGTTAATTCACCATGGCGACGGCATGCGAAACGCGGGGGGCACATTGTTTATGTATAGGTGCATTCAGGCAAATGCAAGTTTGTTAGCTGCTTCTTTCTTTTCTTTTTCTGTTTTGCAATTGCATAGCTTCAGAGGTTGATTTGGGACTTGGGAGCACAAGTTTTGGGGTAACGTGCATAGGTAGCCGTTCTTAATTCTTATGGATTTAAGTTGTTCATCTGAATTTTGATACACTAAATTGACCAAAGTATGAGCATCTATAATTGTATATTCCGAATTACTATATTGAGCCTTGCGATGGTGTTCGCAGAACCAGGGGATTTCTGTTCTTCTGCTGTTGGTGGCCATTTTTTTTAGGAGTTGGTGCTGCAAGCTTATTAGCTAGTAGTAGTACATACTATATCTATACGTAGCTGTTTTTCCAGAGAGCCGTAAGTATGGTATGGTGTCAAACAAGAAAATGATGGTTAGTAAGAATGAACAGAGGTCTACATGGGTTTGAAGCCATGTAAACACAACAGACCTAGAGAAAAGAACAAAAATAAATAACCCAACTTTGAGTACTGGCCTTGCAAATTTATTAGGGTTATAAAAAAGGGTTTTTTTAGATAATGGATTTCATTGATCCGGCCACTATATCCACAAAGAATATACACAGCCAAGAGGATATAAGAACACTTAGACTCACACCTCAACAAAGAGGAGAACGGACAAGCAAAAAAAAAAAAAAAACTACGACCTCGATACATCCTTGCTTCCCAGTATCCTCTCCTAAAATGACCAGATTCAGTGAGTGGAAGTCGTCAAGTCCACCGCGCCTAGTGTGTCATCACTGCGAACCTCCACTGCTGCCATCTTCGTTCGCTTCAAGTAAGCTGACACCATGCTGGTTAGCCCACCTTCATCCGTCATCGTCTAGTCAGAACTAGCCGAACAGACGTGAGCCGACAGGATCTGCTTCCACTTCGTCGGATTCTTAGGCCTTCACCACCCATAGGGCAGCCGCCGTCATTGGGATGGTCGTCGCCTCTGCTGGAGTCGTCTGTCGCTGCCGCCACTACCCATGGGATCTGCCTCCTCCTCGCTAAGATCCTTGCACTAGCGCTCAGGCCGCCGCCGCCCTAGGGTACCAATAGACAATCGCTAGGAGCAAACAATCACCATGCCCGTAAGCTCCAGCCGCCTCTCCATGACCAATCCATCCACGAGCAGCCTGCACGCCCTAGACACGCCGCCATCGTGTAGCCTACGTCGTCCATGCGGCTGCCTGCATGCCCTAGGCGCACAGCCACGCATGGCCGCCACCGCCACTACCGTCCACTTGCTGCCATGGATCCGGGTGGGGGCAGTAGAATCAAGCCACGGCGGCGTTGAATGGCCGTTGCCGATGCAAGCAGGTCCCCGGCCACTGTGGCTAGATCTGGGATGTTGGCTCGTTGGATCTATCTTTCCCCGGCGTGGATACGAGCCACCACGGCACTGACGCCGCTAATTTCACCTAGACGTCGACGAACTTCCTCGACAAGAGATGCACGAGTGCTCCACCAATGGGGGACCAGCCGCAAGGGCCCCGGCCCACGTCGCTCAGGCGATGGTGAGGCGAGAGAAGGGGAGGGTGGCGGGGTGCGTGGCGGCGACCACTGTCGATGAAATATGGTCGGCAGTCCACCGAGGGGGGTGCCCGTGGTGGTAGATTATCGGTAGGATGCACGTAATCAGGAACCAGATGGTGACACAAGGCGCAGAGACAACGATTTAGACAGATTCGGGCCGTCTGATCGACGTAATACCCTACGTCCTGTGTCTTTGGTGTATTGTATTGATGATGTATACAGATTAACCCGTCCTCTGGGGGACCCTTGTCTCTCCTTATATACTCCGAAGAGACAAGGTTACAAGTAAAGTATCCAATTTGGTACTATCACAATATCTAGTACAACTTGTAATCTTGATGTGCACGCCTTGATCTTACGGGCTGGGCCACCTCGGATGGTGCGGCCCATGTACCATCTTGTGGTACCCGGGGGTATATCCCTCACAGCTAGTCTCCGAGCGCCATGTATTCTGATGCGACACGCCATTTTAACCTTCTCCGAACAGTGAGGCTTGAGTTCTTGACATCTCCGACCACCGTTGTCGTCGGAGAAGTAGGTTGTCCGAAGAATGTATGGTGCTCTTAAGAAGAAAGAAAAAGATTTTCGTCCCGGGAAGTGTGCCCACTTGTATTTCTGAAAAGAAATGTAAGTGCGTCTTGAAGCGTAGCATCTTTGATCATCAGATCGAGCACATTCACCGCAAGGTGAAGTGTGCCCATTTAGTCCCCGAGCCTGGTAGTAGGTGACGTAGGCACGTGGTGCCAGGGTCTAAAAAGAATTCCCAGTTAAGTTGAGAATCCAATCGTCGTACAGGCGATACGAGATGCACCGGCAGGTGCATCGTACCGATGTAGTCCCCGAGCTTGCTGAAAGGCGAGGTATGAGCCTTGTAGCAAGGTCTAAGTGAGAAAAAATATCCCAACTGTATGCGAGTCGCCAGTCGCATGTAGTCGAGACGCAAAGTCCCGAGCATAGCAAGAAATTCCTGCAATATAAATATGTAGAAATTCCTGCAATATAAATATGTAGAATGGTAGTACATGATGTACAAAATAATAAATTATGGAGAAAAAATCAGCAGTGAAGAAACAACGCTCAGCAGTCATTTGCAAATGAGCATGATGTGATAAAGCAGTCGGTGCTTTGTAAACATCAGTGTTAACAGGAAGTTTGTGTTTATACTTAATATAAACCGCCCGACCAGTTAGTATGTAGCTGAGTCTCCAGCCCTAGTTAGCCCGTTAACCATAACGCGGGGTGCGGAGCCCGTGCACGTGTAGGAAGAACAAAGCGTCGCTAAGGAGCCGCTGCCGACCACCCATAATGCAGAGGGCAGACGCTCGTGCACGTGTAGGGAGAAGCCGGAGACAGGGCCTTTTCTGGAAACATCGAGTGTCAACATGACTGGTCGAGGATTTACATTAAGTATAGTTGTATGTTATATTTAAGATGGTATACATGGACAAACATTATTTGAAGAATAATCATGACAAGGACGTTGTGGAGAAACGTCGTAATGAAAATTATATTAAATATAAATATTATAAGTGTACTTATCTTTGGATAGAAATCTGGTTGATGGCGATAAAGTTGTCCGATCCTCGTACTTTTTGGCCTGTTGTGACGGTGGTCGCGGTTGTCATAGCGCCGTTCTTCGTGGCGATCATCATTGCGACGTGGTCTGGTGGTCGGAGCTCGGCGGAGCCGCTCGGGACGTGGTCTGGTGGTCCGGTGGTCGGAGCTCGGTGGTGAAGCTCGGGACGTGGTCGACGTGGTCGGAGCTCGGCGGGGCCGCTCGGGACGTGGTCGACGTGGTCGGAACTCGGCGTGGCTCGCTTAGCGGCTCACTCCGCGGCTCGGCGTGGCTCGCTTGATGGCTCGGACAGCTCCATGTATTCGGACTTTGACGTATTTCATTGTACGTGTTGCATTGTATGGATGCGTCCGATTGGTTGGAGTTCCAGGTTAATGATGGCTGCTCGGCTCCTGCCAAAATAATCACGCATATGTGGGAGATATCTGGACACATACTCTCATGGGATATAAATTAGAAAATAAATACAAGTATTGACTTAGCTTTGGACGTCGCCCGTCAGCTGTTTGTACATGTATATGCACACACGCATGCAGGCTAATTTATCAGCACGTGCATGCTTTGTAGATCATCCAGTCCTCATTTGCTTGCTTGTCGATAGGAAGTCGCAGATAGCAGAGCGTCGTTTAATCTTGCGTGGTGTTCAGACTCCTTGTCCGCCCCGTTGGTGCATGTGTTCAGACTCCTATATGTGCAACTTTTGGCTAGCTTGCTTGCGTAGTCTTCATGTGCTATGGACAAGCCCACGACTGGTCAGAGCCTTCGGCTTCATGACGGACGGATTTGTTTATTGAGCTAGAGACATGACCATGCATATG